TAGTAGTAGTAGTAGTAGTAGTAGTAGTAGTAGTAGTAGTAGTAGTAGTAGTGCTCTAGCTACTAGTTGCGATGCCCTGGATACTAGCCCCCGGGGCCAGGAGAAGATCATCACCCGGACTTTTGGCCAACTCCTCTTGGATGACGAGATGCTGAGGCGCCGGAGGGGCGCATCCAGCGGGCGCAGCCAGCTGGAGATTATTTGGTTGAGATACTGAGGGGATGTGTGGCTGTCAGAGATGGCCAAACGACCACACAAATATAGACAGAGACATGCTGAGATCCAAAACCACTGCTTGAGCTTCAGGTCAATTGATGATCAGTATCGTCAGCCCGGGATATATACGTAGCCACTCGGGCCACAGTCCCCCAAGTCGGAGCCCTCCGGATCCGACTGCCGGTGCCGCTGGCAGATCCCGCAGCTTCTACGAGTGGCGAAATGCCTTGCACCACGCGCGGCACGCCGCTTGGCACCAGCGCAGGGCGTGGCAGGGCCAGGTGCCAGCGTGTCGTGGCAGGTCTTCAGTTCCATGCCCAGAATGTTAGGTTTGCCTTTGGATGGTTTTTTGGGGAGTGAGAACAGGTGGAAAAAGGTTTCACTTGTTTCCAGGGAACATGAGGGAGGCCAGCATGATGGTCCATCTATGTTTCACCGTGTTTGATGTCAAACGGGGGCTTGGGCAGTGCAACGCTTTGGCCGCAGCAAAGGGCTACCTTGGAGGTACCTTGGATGGACTTGGTTTGTGGGTGTTTGAAATATAGACTGGTCCAGTGTTTTGAGTGTTTGAAATATAGGTAATTGAGTGTTTGTGTCATTTGTAAAGAAAGAGATGAACATCTAAGAGCAATTATAAGAGTCATTCAGCACAGCTGCATCTCACCTCAAAAAGAACTACTTGAATCTGACATGCTCTCAGTTTGCAAACGAACACTAGCCTGGAGTCGTAGGGCAAAAAGACATAAAAAGACCTACTCAATGTGTACCTTGAACCAAAATGGCTACGGTGCTCGTAGATGTGCATTTGTGTTGACCTAGCTGCTGAGGTGGAGGGAACTGCCACCACACACGCCATATACACGCATCTGTGTTGATAACCAGCAAAGGGCCAAATCATCCCGATCCTTGTTAAGTTGAACTTGGTTGTTGCCACCTACTCCTACTTCGTCCATATAGTATATTATATCGATATGATATTTATCGTTCAACCAATTTTATTTTGTTAGTTCATATTTGTTTCCTGCAATTGCTACTGTACGCCTCCAAAGCCCAATATCGGACCAGCTAGATGCTTTCTGGCAAACTTGCTAGGCATAGACCTGGTATGAACGCTTCGTTAAGACCTTTGATGAGAACGTTTGCAAGGTGGCTAGGTCTAGGTGGCTCCGTTTCCCCATAGGTTCAACAGAGTGAGCGTTTTTCGTTAGAACCCAGCATTATTCAGCACAACCCAGTTCGAGATTGTTCAAGTGGTTATTTATAGAACCCAATGGCCGTGCTTCGGGTGGTGCAGGATGGGTTTTCTTGTTTTCCTCGCAGCAGTCAGTGAGTGGGTTTTGTTGTTGCGGTCATTGTAGATCTTTTTGATTACTTGAATTAGATCGTCTCCACCGCAAAAAAACAATACAAATATATACTGAATATATATAATATATATAGTTGATGGTCGATGTTGTCGGTGACAGGATGCGCTTCATCGGGCGGCTGAACAGGAGGTGCGGGTGCCAATGTCACATCCCATGTCGTACCTAACGAGAAGACTATATATTGTTCCTCACAACAAATAGGTGCAAATGCAGAGGTGCTAGCTCCTGTCAGTCTCAGTAGCCACTGAGGTTCTTTGGTCACATTAACCCATTTGGGCTCTCCTGATAGATGGTCAAGGGGCCAGGATGTTGTCTTTGGGGACGCTGTGACCAGTGGAGTGCCCGGCCAGTGCCACAGCCCTTTGGGACAAGTCCCCACCCCAGTCCAGTCAGTGGATAAGCAACCTTTTTGGGGAACAGCTCGAAGAAGCTCAGCCTAGTGACCTGACAGTTAGGCTAGGCTGTGCTAGGCTGTGCTCTCAGCCTAGTGCTCAGCCTCCATGTTCCAAGAAAAACGTGTTTCCCTGCCCTGACATGGTTTGTCGGCACGGTTTTCCGGACTCGACACGTCGCTGAAGGGACGAAGACACCGACAATTGGGTTTGGAGAAGAACTACTAGGGGCTGCTGGCGTCGCTGCAAGGAACAAGAAACTACTAGGGGTTCCGAATTCCTGGCATTACTACTAGGAGCAAGAAGCTACTAGGAACAAAGGGCATCGCTACGAACGGAGCAAGAAGCTAGTAGTAGCTCCTGGCACTACTAGGAACAAGAACGCTAAGTAGCACCCGCAAGAGAAACACAAAGGATCGTGGAACAGCCACGATGAAGCGGCCGCGTGCGGTTGTGCACAGGTGTCAGCGGTGATTTCGTGGCCATCGACCAATCATGCTGTTAGCACCACCCCCCCTTCCCACACAACTCGCAATGTATTGGACCTGTAATCCACGACAAGTCCAACATCTCAGATAAAGGTGTGTTGCGGCCTTTCTTCATGCGTCATGGGAGTGTCGAGTCCAAAGGAGTTACAGTTCAATCGCCCCGGTTCCAACATGTTTCAACATGTTCACACCGAGAACTTACGCCACTCCGCGGTGTCCGGACCCCTACCGCGCAGGCGGAGGAGCGGAAGAAGGAGGCCCATGAGCAGAAGCTGCAAGTCATGAGGCCGAACTCGCGGTGTCCGATCGGACGGGCCCGGTGGGTTTGGTGGTTCCAAACCCAGGCGAAAGGAGCTCGTGGGGTGTGTGTTGGAGGGGCCCAGAGGGGCCAACTGGATGTCTGAGACGTCGGACATAGGGAAAAGGATGGAAAAGGGCAGTTCACCAGTCGTCCCCAGGTCCACTGAAGGCCGGGTGTGATGACCTTCAGGGATGGGATTTGGGGTGCAAATTCTGAAGGACTGAGCATGCTCGGTCTCCAATCTTGGCCAACAAGCACTTGCTGTAGACAGCAGAATGTCCGCCAAATTCAGCCAATATTCTTTTTGTGACCAGATCTTCATTTTCACAAGCCATGCCCACCGGATTTGCCCTTTTTTCCGCTGTGAGGCAAGCCTTTCGAAGCTCGAGTGAGGCTGGAAAATGCCTGGGAGGACCAAAGTCCGGACTGATTCGTTGGTGGCCACCAGGAAAGGCAGAAACGGCAGCAGCTTCTAGGCCCCATAAGGAGTGGTTAATGGACACTCCTCAACCTCTAAGGGCGCTAAGGGGCTATTATTGATAGACACCCCATGTTGTTCCGATCTATTCTCGGACCACTGTACAGGGCTATTAGTGATGTTCCTTGTGCTGATAAAGGGCAAGATATGGTTCAGTGGACCTGTTTGTCCTTCACTTCTCATCAACAATGTGGGCTTCCCAAATTCAGACGAGATGCATGAAGTGAATCAAGCCACCTCCTTCCAAACAAAACAAACCCACCCTTCTCAAACCTTCTTAATCCTTCTTAAACCACCCTTCAACCCACCCTTTCACTGGTGCCAGGCCTTGTTGGGTTCGGCCTTCTTGGGTTGGCACAACTTGGCGCGGCACCGCCAGCAGCACCTGGCGCGGCGCCGGCAGAGCGAGCAGCGCCGCGAGCGGAAGGACTTGGAGCTGGAGAGGCACTTCTTGGGGCACTTGGCCCGGGCCGGTGGAAGCATCCAGTTTACACCATATCATAGTGGTTTAACCGAGGTTCGATGGCACTGTTGGACCCCCAATGTCTGGTGGTTTATATGGAGCTCCATCTGAAAAACACATAGGGGGTTGCGCCATCTACTCTGAAACCCCTGTAAGACATCCTTTCAGATGGTTGATAATATATATATATATATGTGTATAGAATCTCTCATTTGGAGATGTGGCTGTGCGTCATGACACCGGGGACCCTGATCTTTCCCACCGAACATGCACTGAATAGACTACCAGCTGGGTCAACCTACCAGGGTTTAGGGCTCCGTGAAGAGCATTTGTACTCGCTCACGCTCTGTTTCCACTTGAGCCAAAGTAACGAAGTGCATACCCGATTGACCTGGTTTCGGTCAATGGACCTGTGGATCTGTGATATACACTGGATGATCCGTCCATTCCTGTCTGAGGTAAGCTCTTGGTGGAGTACTTATGGTTGTACTGATGCCATGCAACACTGTTCAGCATACAAAGAAGCGTACATCATCCAGCACGGATGGAGCTTCACCCCCCCCATGCTGAATGGGTCACATCCAAAAACCCAAAAAGCGAACTTTATCCACAAGCCACAAGCACATCGGAACATCTAAATCTGCACTCCAATGACCGACAATGCATCTTGCAATCAATCAACAAACTAGGACCAGGACTTGTGGATCTCAGCAAACAAAAACTTGAAACACTTCTGTATCAGCCGCCTCCGCCTCAAGTGGCTCTCAAACAACGATCTGCCAAGCAAAAGTCAAGGTACCCACACACCTCTCGGAGGCATACAATGGGCACACGCTGAAAAATGCTCCATGTATATCGATTGCTTGTACTCGCACATGTGCGCAAGCCGTGGTGCATCTGATCCTCTGGGAGACCAATCACCATGGAGCTGAAGTCCATTGACCACTCTCGGAAAATCATGGAGCAGATAGGTGTAATGCTCAAAATGGACAAATCCGTTCCAATCTTCGACCAACCGAGTTCGTGCCCTCGCAGGTGCTGCCACACATGACTCAGCCTTCAATCTTCGAATTGCCTTCGAGGCACTGGACTGTTCAGAAGCACTGGGTCTTTCAGAAACATAAGACGCCCCGCAGAACTGACTTGCCCAATAGGGATTTCAACTCTTGACCCCCTTGGATCTTCTTGCTCCAACAATGCATCGGCTACTGCAGCATCTGGTTCAACCACATATGGGTTCCGCTGTACGGTTCGAACACCGGTAGGTCTTGGCAGCGCTCTAATACCGGCTGATCTCCTGGCAACGAACCTGTTCGATCCCGAGACACCCTCCAAGGCAGTAGTCGAGTGGAAATGGCTACCAACCGCATGAAACACAGTGGTGATCGAACCTTCAACTTAGTTGAACTTGAATGAATACGAAAGCTAATTCCGATATCGTGTTCGAAATTGCATTTTATCAGGTAATACACATCTGGACTGACATTTGAAACACATGAGATCTCAAACTGGTGACAATCTCTGATTCAGCTTAGTTGACATGGAAAAACTGTCCTGGAACATTGTGATTCTGCTGATGCGGATCTGTACACGTCGACATTTTTGCTGCATGCTCACACTGATCTGGCTCGAACCTTCTCTGCCGCGAAGTCATTCCACACCGAGCGGATTTCCTTGGCCCTCGTGGTGTTATTCGAACCAACTTCCATTTTGATCACCCCAGGCTTGAAACACTGACACACGCGCCAACGAAAGCTATTCCCTCGATCTGTCAACTGACTCAAACAGACTGGGAAAGACATCGTTCAACACGAGTTGGTTGAAGAACTCTGACATTCAGAACACCTTCTCCAACTGCAATGGGTCTCTCTCAAGATCTGTACTGTCTGACAGGGTAAGCTGTTGCATCCGGTAATGAGTCCTTTGACACACATGTGATGTTGGCACCCTCAAATCACCGACCGAAACTCAAACTCAGCTTCAATCATCTTTAAAAAAACATCTGGACTTCTACCATGACACCCCGTATCACATGTGCACCATGAACCAAATGGATGGCTGACACAACCCCCTTCATATCCCTGGACAACATCAACTGCCGCCCTCTCAACGTGGCCACTTCCTGGCTCGACCATTCGGTTCACCTCGAACTTCATCCTCCTTATCTACCATTCCTACTGCCGGATATCGCGCTTTAATTAGCCCCAGATCTTCAATTGGCATAGGCCCTGGCTAAGAAAAGCTTTGAGAATTCTGCTTGTCACATTGGCTAAATGCGGTTGAGTCCAATAAGACCGGGCAGTGCTTGGCGGTATCTCATCCAGCGGGTGGTGAAAGTTTACTCTTTCGAGGCTCTACAATGAGCAAAGGCAAGGTGGTCACTTTGCTAGGACCTAGGAAGTATGATGTCTCGTAGGTTCTCACAATCATCGCGAAAGATTGTAAAGGAAACTCTGAATTGACCTGAGTTCGGCAAACAGTGTCATCAGGAACCTCCTTGCGGATCTGAAAGTCATCAGCTCTGGCTAGGTGATGTTCAGATGAATATATCAGATGAACACCGGATGAGTAGATATGAATTGTGGATTCTTTCACTGGTGCAAGGGTTGCGTGGTTCTCATCCATTGGGACGATGGTTTCTTTTTTGCTTACTTGTTTCAATATCTTTCTCATGGGCCGGTCAATCCATCTGAATCCCCTTTCGGTGATGTTTTTTCCCGCGGATTCACTGGGCCAAGTGACGCCTTGCCAGATTCGCTTTGCTGCATTGCGTTTGTGCCTGGCATGTCCAAGCGCTGAAGTGTGGCAGCCTTCGCCGGAAGCGCTCCGCTGGCGCACGCATTGGCCTGCAGGTGACGACCTGTCATGGACAGCACAGTGCACTGCGCGCTTCGGGTGGGAAGGTGGTGGAAAAACAACTAGGACCATAGGGCACATCTGGAGAAGGAGGACGATAGAATCTACTGTATCCTGGGGTCCTTCCCATCTGGTGATGGGTGGCCTAATCTAGCTCCAATTAATTTGGATTGTGACCCTTCCCCTTTTGATCGTTGAGGTCCTTTTGGACCCCAGAAACGACGTGTCGGAAACGGTGGCGCACCGGTGTTTCTTTTTGACTCGAGCTCTCTTCCATTCCCACTTGGAAGGTCCTGGTTTCTGGGAACAGCAGCTGTATATGAAGCTTTAACAGTCTCTTTTACCCAAATGATGCACTTGAAAAGGATGTATTTGGAGCTTTCAGGGTTCGCACCTCACCACACACACAATGACATCTACTCGGGTTTCCTCCAGGCGCTGACGCTGTGGCAGCTGCGCGGGGTGCAGGGTCTCACGGATCCCGGCCGTGGGGCCTTTCAGGCGTGAAACGTTTTAAGGTCGGTCGCGGTGGAAGAGATTTGGTCGGAAGGGGGAAAGAAAACCAAAAACCGTGGTTTCAATTGTGAAAGAATGTAACCAAGGTGTGGGACCATGTTCATGTTGTGTTCATTTTCTTTATATATAAAGTATATGTACCTTTTGGATATTTTTAAATGAATATTGTGATCATTGGGACTGGAGAAGTTCATTAGAAACCAGCATCCTCATCTGAAAAACACGGACGGCTCCTACCCAGACTGACAGTGCACCAGACTGACGTTGAAGCATGAAACGTTCGAGTGTATAGGTTATATGGGGTGCAAATTGACAACAGCCATAGTACTCAGAGAGCCCTAAAAATCGAGGAGCTTGACTTGAGCTTGAGGAACTTGAACATTTTGCAACAACACGGAGTCACGAAACTATCTACTGACAGCTCCAACGACTGGTCGATGCTTGGCATCACCCTGAAAACAAGACGGCACCGCTTGAGGCACAACTTCTGGAGCTGTGGCATCAAGTAGTGCCTTGGCAGCAGCTACTAGTACGTAGCTAGAAGCCACATGAAGCCATTAGTAACAAAGGCTTCTAGCTTTGTTCGGCCATCGTGAGTAGGTCCTCCATTTACTACAAATTAGGGGCGCTAGAAGCTACGAACGGAGCAAGAAATGAGGCCGGGAGATCCTTGTGCCATGGGTCCGACCTGGTCGCCAGCTCTTTGGCGACCAGACGGACCGACACGTCGTCCACCGAGGCGCTGCGCGGCACCGAGGCGCTGCGCGGTCGGCAGCAGCTCCGCGCACGGAACGCGCAGCTCTGCAGGGAGAAGCTGATTCCAGCAGCTCGGCTGGGTGTGGGGTGTGGGGTGTGGGGTGTGGGGTGGTGATGTGAGAGACAAAATAGTGAGGTCTTTAGTTAGCGTAACAAGTGTGATTATATCATGTGCTTGTTACTTTTTGCCATTTGACTGTACATTTCACCACCCTGTCCACTCGTCCAGAAGGCTTTGGACGTCCAACGTCTCTTGCTGCTGCTGGGCCGCTGGCGCCTGCATTGTCACTTGTTGCACGGCCGTCGGGCTGCTGGCGCCATGGTGGAGCAGAGGCCCCTTGGGTGAGGAGTTCTCTGTGGAAACGCCGGAGCCGCGGTCGGACGAAACGAGCGGCAACTGGAAATCGCCGTTACCAACACCCGCCGCCGACGCCTCGAGTGATTCATCATGTCGCTTTCCTTCCACCCTTTTTTCGCTCTTTTTCAACCCATGACTCCAGAATTTACCACCAGACCAGGAACTGGAACCGTGGTGGGACACCGTGGGGTGTCCCCACGATGGACACCGATGGACACCGGACGGATCGCGGATCGCGGCGCCGAAACTTCGGCGCGAACACCGAGGCTCGCGGCGGAGGAGCAGCTGTGGATGAGCCGTCTCTACGATGCATGGCGCCTGCTGCGCTCCGAGCAGTTGCACCTCAGAGCCGTGGGCACCAGCTGCCAAAACGCTCGGGAGGTGAGCAGATGTGAGTAATTCGTGCAGCGGTTCGTTGTGAAGATGCAGGGTGATGAAGATGCACATCCGATGTGGTGTCCCTTTTGTTTCTTCATCTATACAGATGCTTTGGGAATTTGCGAAGTCTGATGTTTCGATGTACTCGGTATAGGGTGGTCATGCTGGTCCAGTGGTAAGAACCTCTCGTTCTTGTGGTGTGATATAGGTCGCAGCGGGTTCTTTCGGTTTTTCGGGAGCGCCGGAGTCTTGGAGGGGTCAAAAGAAGAATATGACTATCCACATCACTACAACATGAAAAAAACATCTCCAGTTGACCCCCCCCAGCTTGTCAGCCCAAGATTTCTATCCAGAAGCATCACAAAAGCATGTTGACATGCTATGTTTGATCACAATGCTTTGGATATCTCTAGCGCTGCTCCTTTGGAGCGGCTAATCTCCACCTTTGGACCCGGAGCAGCTCCTTTGCACCTCAGAGCAGCCCCGTGCAGCTCCAGGTCCAGCTGCAGCTGCGCTGGCGCATGCTGCATGGGATGAGCCAACTGCAAGACTTGTGCCTCGGCTCTTGAGCCCAGTTTCTAAGACACGTATTCTTTTTGTGGGGTGTCCCACCTGTAAAAGTTGGTATACACAATGATCACTGGTTTAGAGAAAGGCCTGCAACCTAACCATCACCATCAACTGGGCCCAGGGGCTTCGGTGTCCTGCGAGGAGCAAGAAAGGACGTGGTAGAATGTTTTTTTTTTTTTTTTTCAAACTTCTTGCTTCGTTGAGCAGCAGCATGTCAAGGCCACGGAGTTTTTGCATCAGAAGGCATTCAGCTTGTGTTGGCAGTCTTTTACAGTTAAACTTCTCCAATGGGTGGTTCACAGCCGCCAAGCGACCTGAGGCGACCAGGTCGCAGATGGGGATAACGGATAACTCAGTTTCAAGATACCACAGTTTCAGCTACCTTGGATTCAAGTAGTAACAAGTGCCACGCTACTAGTAACAGGTGCCTTACTAGTAGTAACATTGGATTCAAGGACCAACACCCTGAACATCTTCAGACATGATCAATCCCAGCCTCAAAATCTAGGCAACTTTGACCATATTGGAGAAAGTAGACAGGAGAAGTATATATAGAGACAAATTGACATCGTGGGAACCCACCAATTGTAGTTTCCTGTATCTCTCTCATGGAGTTATCCCACGCATCACAAAACAGTCGCCCACTGAAAGGATTCGGCTCTTTTCCAGCATCGTTTGCTCGCAGGGTTCCAAAGACTCCGCGGGAATCAGGACCACCAGCTAATACTCACTGGATTTTTCATAGTGGATGGCAGGGCCTCGATCTTGGAGGAATCATTTGAAGACCAAACCGGTGTGTTTTTCTCCATCCTCCATGATGATTCCAGAGAGAAGAAGGCATAGTGCATGCCTCACAGTCCAAGTTTGCTTGTGCACCTGGGATTCACTGGGAACTGCAACGTGAGACACCTGAGCACCTGTGAGACCACCCAGGAAACCATCAGGAAACCATCACTCCTTCCCCAACACCATCAATAGAAAGTCGATTCAAATCCATGTTGTTTGTAAGCTAGAGACTTCTTTTTTGAGTTTTAGCATTCCTTTCATTCCCGAATGTGCCACGTCAACTCCCTTCAGGGTGGATCAAGGGAGATTGGAAGCGCTTTTGCTGAGGCAGGCATTGTGGTTCTGGTATGTTCTGGTTAAACTGCAGCACTATGTGATACCTAGATCTTCCTATGAGGCACTTTTCCAAAGAAGTTGCCTTTTACCGTACGGCGTTTCTTGATTTTGTGGCGGCGCTTTTCGTGGTTGGCTCGAAGTTGGGTGTAGTTGGGTGATTTGTTCCCTTCGTTGAGTATAGTTGGGTATAGTTGTGTCAAACCCCGAAGGTTGATGAACGCACCCCAATGTGTGAACTTCCTGTCAACATACCAACCGGTGACCTTTGGGAAGATGCGGAATTGGTGCAGTGCTTGAACTATGTTTTAGCTTCGAAACGGCTGGTCGTTCCGGAAGACTACCAACCAGTGTTTCATAATTTGTTTTCGTGGTTCAGAGCTCCCTGAAACATAGTGATGAGCATTCAACACAAAATTCGGAATTGTGTTCTTGAGTTTGATACGTGTTGCGTGAAATTGACGAAATTTGCCGGAAGAAATGGTGGCGTAAATCCGCGTAATGGCGGCATAAATTCCCGTAATCAGATTTTGGCAACATTTGTCAACCATGGACCACTGAGATTGCTTGGCTTATCAGGGTGTAGCATAATGAGCACAACGACTGTTGTTAGGGGGTGGTCAATTGTCAGACCTTGCACAATGACCTTGGAGAATGACCCTGAGTACCAGAAGTTGGGTATAGTTGGGTAAATTTGGCAATGGGAATCGTAGAGCGGTCAGGGATTTGGGATTGCGATGACGTTATCGTGGAGGTGAGTGGGAATCTAGCTGAGTAAGTATCCTTGAGCCTGGTGTGGAGGAGACATGCACCATCCTTCCCCATATATGGAGTGTGGCGTTATGTTTTTATGGTGGTGTTTTTTTCCTGGATGACGGCAATTTTCCACAAATTTTTTCACACGATGGAAAGCGGTACTTTTTGCGTCCACCAGGTGGATCTAGGTATACAAACGATGTAGCCATAATATCATATCCATCAGATGCAGCTCTGCGTACAGTCTTGCAGCACGAAAGAGAGAACATGAAAACATCAACGGGTACGGTCTTGGCGTGGCCAAAGCGGAATTCCACACAGATTTGTCACTATATAGATAAAACATCACTATATATATATAACTAAAAATAAATACGTATTGATACGTAACAATCATCAGGTGTCGCTGTTGACACCTCACACACTTCATTCGAGTTGACCGCCAACTCGATCTGCATGTGGCGGTCGTGTGGACTGGATCTTACACCGGATCTGGCGGACTCCAGAGGTTTATACCATAGACTGTCTGCAACCGATTGAACCGTTTGAACATGTTTGAACGTTTTTGTTTTACAGCCACTGTTTAGCTTGGTTTCGCCCCAGCATGTCACACGAGGGAAGCAAACATGTTCTGAACGGTCTTCGTGTTCATGACTGGCGAAAGAAGGAAAGAAGGGCAAGAGCAGCATGGCATTGCCAACGAATCAGCACCAGAACTAGCTTGCCGGCTTTGCTTTCAGGAAGCCCTCACCAGCAAATACTCAGACTGCAGCGGTGGCAGCGTCTCACTCAGCTGACAGCCCGCAAGACATTGAGTTGGTGAGCATCATTTAAGAATGAGTTGCGGAATAAGGTCAGGTCTACTCCCTCCGTGCCAGAGGCATTTTATGAAGTATCTAACTCTGAAGGACCCCCTTTGGCAACGCAGTCCCACAAGACACGGCTCCTCGATGGGTTCCTCATGAAGCAAAAGAACTGTCCAAGAGAAGTGCCTGGGTGAACTTTTGGGTTTTCCATGCAGATGTGCGAATGTTGCCGCGGCTTGACCAGATGATTGACTTGGTGCGAATGTTGCCGCGGCTTGACCAGATGATTGACTTGGGGGTTCCAACTTCGCGATAAGAGAAAAAACCGAAGCAACACCCAAAGGCCCAAAGGCTGCAGAAGGGTGATTTTTAGAAATCGGGTGCCGGTGCCTGGCTATGCGACCATGTGTGGATGATGTTGGGCCATTGCCGATGGGCCCCAGAAGAACAGTGACGGGCCCGACGGTCGCCATGAAGGACTTGAGCTGAGCCATGGACGCTGCAGGGGTGAACACGAACCATTTACAGCCAGATGAAGAGCACTGAAGAGCCAGAGATTTTGGGTGGACCAGCTGCTTCTGTGACCAATCATATTACAACTTGTAACTTATAACCTATACCTTATAACTAAAGCAACCAGGCTTGCGGTGGCCTTCCCATCATGAACAACTTGATCGGAGGATCGCTCAGGGGGTGGCAAAGGAAGGTCATAAGATCGGTCATCTAGACGATCGACACAACCAGGTAACACACCACTAGGATCTATGACCAATTTACCAGCTATCAGAATGAAATGAGTTCAAGATCCTCTATCACAAGCAACATCTATGAAAGACACATTATAAAGTTCAACTTACTGTATCATAATGTCAGGGGGTTCCATCCGAATGCCCCGTAATTCATCTCCCACCGCATCGCCGCCGTCGCCTCCAGGTGGCGCGTGGAGACGTCGATCCGGTCGACGCGGCGTCGGTTGAAGGAGCGCCGAACGGACGAGGGTGCAACCGGGAGGGGTGGCGCAAAAGGAACCTAATAGCAATGGCCTCTAACCTAGTAGCAATGGCCTCCAACCTATTTTAGCAGTGGCCACCAATCTAGTAGCGATGGCCTCCAACCTATATAGTAACAGTCTCCAACCAATAGTAACAGTGGCCTCCAACCTAGTAGCGATGGCCTCCAACCTCTAGTAGCAATGCACCGGGAGTGTTTGTTTTTGGATCTGAGGGGCCTCAGGGGGATGGAGTTCATCCAGAACCCTCCTGGGTGCGACCAGTCCCACAATTCTTGCATGGGTCACTGGCATTTTTGGGTCTCCAAACCCTGCCAACATGAAGGACTCTGATCAAAAACCACCCTATTTTCCAGACCGCTGGGCAGGAGCGCGCCTTCACCGGCACCATGCGTGAAGTGGCACGGGAGGAGCTGGAGCTGTTCTTTGGGACGCATTTGCACCGCGCGGTGCTGCGGTTTTCGAGGTTCCTGGTGGTTCCTTCTTTTGAGGACGGACGATGGCGCAAGCTTGTGCCCAACTTCGAAAGAACCTGGACTCCACTCTGCATGGGGGGTTGAGCAAGATTCAAGATTTGGAGGGGCTGGAGAGGTTTTTTGGGTTGCCAAATGAGATCTGATACTTCTTTCAACCAAGAAATGTGGGGGACAAGGAGGCTGATAATGAATAAGTTTATTGAGATTGTTCCAGTATATATGTTGCACATGCTTACGATACAGTCACTCATACCTTGCGCTACGTTCAAATCCTTAGCTCACGAGAGCTCAGAGTGGATGATTCACAAGGCCTGGGAGTTACACACAAACACCATGTACAAAAAGACTGAAATGCTCACAGCCCGTATGACTTGATTCAAGTGTTGGATCCATCCTTACAATTGGGTGTGAATAAGGGGTTCCCTCTCCAGTCACTAACTACTGTGTCTCACTTCACTTCACTGTTTCCTGATGTGTCCTGCATGATTGAAACAGATTCAGACTGAGGATTCACCTGAACTGTTTGACCGACTGGCTCAGCCAGTCCCGCTTTTCGCGGGTCGTCAGACTGCGCGGACGAAGCGCCGAATTCGTCTCCGGCACTCAGGTGCCAGTGGGTTTTCTCGATCTTCAAAGCAGAGGTGCCAGCGAGACACAGTCACCCAGAGTTTCAGGAGTTCTTCTGTAAGTTGAAAGTGGATGTGTTTTTTTGCGTGGGTGGAAAGGCTGAAAAATCAGACATGCGAGATGCAAAACATGGCACTCCCATGGGTCAATACCGGAGACTTTGAGGGGGGTTGACCTATGAGACCTGCATACTCCCAAATAGGGTTCAGTCGTTGCGAAAGTCGTTGATTTTGAGCCTGTACCATGGTGAGTTGTTATTTTCAAAAGTCGTTGCGAACTCTGTGCTGCTTGTGCTTCGAGTTTATGGAAAGGATAGCAATGATATTGGGTTATGATGACCTGAGGTAGCACTTTGGTTTTGGATCGCCTCTCATCACATACATTTTTCGTATATATATATACTGTAGAGGGTTTGAACTTTGCAAAGAAAACGTCCAAGATGCCTTACTGAAATCTACAATCTATACGTAAATAATGCATAATATTCTTTTTTGTCAGTCAAAACCCGCTTAATAAGGAAACAATGAGGTTGTTCGTGGTTTTGGGATGCTTTGGTGCCTGAAGGTGGTGTTGTGATGTTGATTTAGTCAGCCCAAAAGGTCTGGTATAACCAATTCCGCGTCCAACAGCCGCTTTCAAATGCATGAAAAGAGGCCACCCGGGAACGTCACCAGCGAGAGCTTGAACGCACCGAGCGACAGGCGCATACGCGATGTGTGTGTTTTTGGGTGCGAAGAACATTTGGATGTGTAACAAGGGCGCGATGCATCGCTACCAGGAGCAAGGATGCTACGGCCTTACTACTAGGAACAAGGACGCTACTTTACTAGGAACAAGGGCATCGCTACTAGTAACAAGGGCATTACTACTAGAAACAAGAAGCTACTAGTAGCTCCTGTCAGTATACGTCAATGAGTCAATTGGCAGTCAAAGAATCTGTTTTTGGTCCGAAGAGTAACAACCAAACAAACTACCATGACAAACGCAGCCATATGTTAATAATATATTATATGTGAATATTTATTTAGCAAGACTCAGTGTTTGATCGAGCCTTTGTCTGTTTAATTTGCCTAGTTTTGCCTCTTTGAGGTGCTGGCACTGTCGTTCTTCAGTAGAAGCACTCAAAGTAGACGTGTGACGTTGGTCTTCTCAAGGTGCAGGGAGCTCGCATCGTTCAGCGTCAGATGGCCGACGGCTGGAAGAAGGCCGATCGGGCCTCGACGTGGGCGCTGTGTCTTGCGCAGATGTTGAATGAGGGTTGGGGTGAGTTTGTTCACCAAAAAACGTTGTTCTTAAAATCAAGTGAACAGCTCTTAAGGCTTTGGAGTGAACAAGAGTGCTCTTAAGGGCGCGGCTTTGGACGACTTTTCTATTTGCCTTTTTGGCGTTTTGCCTGAGGCCGAATGAATTTGATGCACCCAGTGCGTCCAGGGTGGTACGGCTGTAGAAAGTGGAAGGTAGTGGAATGATTACAGTGCGCCAAAATGTTCGCTGAACTTGACGATCCTTGGATCTTCATTGTGCTGATCAACATAAAGGTTCCAGTTCAAACTCCATCCCTCCTTTCTCAAAAGCTATATATAATATATATATATATTAATAACTGGTTCATACAAACGGTTTTGCCAAACATCCTCTCGTCTCGGAAGATGTAACAACAGAACCCTGTGGTCACCCCAATGTCCCCCAAGCCGTTGTGTTTTTGTGGGAACGAACTATAGACTAAAAACAGGAACACCAGGATAGAAGCACATTATATAATAAGATATCATAAGCATAGTGATGAGCATCGCTGCGCACATAGATATCATAAGCAGTCTCACATTGCGTTCTGCGTTCTTGCCAACAGAACTCACGAAAGACGATAAATCACCAACAACCACTCCAATAATAACAACCCCCCAAAAAAATTGATTACCGTGCCACACACCACTCACCCATCCCGTTTTCAATCACGTGGCGTCCACTCCCTCGCTTCTGGTAGGCCTTGGAGGCCCTACAAGCTGAGCAGCTCCGGAACCTCCGCGCGCAGCTCCGAAGCCTTTGCCGCGCCTGGCGCGGTACGGGGACCGTGGACGACAGTCCTGGACAGTGCACCGTTGGAGTGCCGTTTGGCAGCCAGGTTGGTTGGAGCCAGGTTTGGAGGGGGAGCCAGGGAACAGCAGGAAGAAATTCGGTGGACCTGGATCAGGTGGAGCTTTTCAGATTGAGTGGAGCAGGCGAGATCAGCTGCTACTGTACCTGGACCTTTGACGGGGGCAAGTTGTTTTGTTTTTCTGTGGCCATGCCAGAAGTCCTGAAAGTACTGCTACCCAAGCTACTAGGGTGGAGGCCATCGGTACTGTATAATACACTACCCAAGTTGCCACCCAAGTGCTTCAGAACCCTCACATTGGATGGTCCTTCTATCGCTTCTGCCAGGCTCACCGGCGCTCGGGCGCTGGTGAACGCGCGAGGCGTTCGGAGGCGACAAAAGAACAGTCGACCAGCGCGAAACATGGGAGAGACCTGTTGTTTGGTGCCAAATCCTTAGTAAAACAATGGTTATTTGGGATTCAGGCTATTTTAAGCGGTGGTTTGAATCCTGGGGGGTTGTAAATATTTTAAATGTTTGTAAGAAGTAAACATGGAAGAACTCCTGCACCTCCTGAGATAAGGATCACGTACAGTTTTTCATCACACTTTTGGGTGGGCCCATATGATATTGCGGTATTGCAAAGTCAAGAGCAACATCATTTGAGCTGCTCGAAGTCGAAATCCATTGCTTCCTTCCTTGCTTCCTTCCTGCTTTTGTTTCTGTTTTTTCAATTCTTTCGAGCTCTTCACCGCATTGACTCGACTCCAATCCTCCTGCATTGACTCGAGGCGTTGGGCCTCAGTCCTGGGACACCGGCAGCGGCAGCGCGCTTTGCGGCGGATGTGTTTGCACTGGCGCTGGGTGGCCGGGCAGGACGGTCGGATTGGTCGGAGCCGGGCGGATTGGGTCAGGGATGCGGAAGGGATCAACTGGGTGGATCTCCCCTCGTGTTGGTGGAGTGATTCGAGGTTTTCTTGATGGATCTGAGAAGGACAAGCAAGTGTAGACAGCATGGAGCAGCACTGATCTTCCCGGATGTTCGATCAAGCAAACCCTGAGATCCCAGAGAGTGGAGTTTTTCAACCACCCTTTGAGTCATCCCGTTTGATGAGTTTGATGCAGAAGAGCTTCGATGAGCTTCATAGCTTGGGCTCACATGCTGGCGGACACCTCGAACATGTTAAATTTGCTTAAGGGTGATAGCCAAAAGCCGCTGAACGCAGTATTGCACCTGTTTCACCTCGCAGGAGAGGCATGATGCCCGACTCCAGCGGTGCCGCAAGTCTTCTGACTGGAAATTTGCGAAAGACCGCTGAGGTTGTCGAGGTGTTCTGGTTTTGGATTGTAGGAGCCCCGTGCAATCGAGTCCATCACCTCATTCTGTATAGTGGTTTGTGTCACGCTCCTTCTGGAGATTGACAACCCACGGTTCCAGGGGAAATAGTTGGTTCATGTTGGTTCAAGTGCGCAGCTGGAAAAAAGAATAACGATGAGATTCACGAGGCAAGTCAAGTGGGACTCAAGTGGCACTATATACTTTGCACATCTTTGCACAATCCTCACGAGAGCATGCAATCCGAAAGTCTTTGGAGCCGACATAGAACCCGTATATCGTCCAAATGAAGCACTGCAGAGTGACTATGCAGCTATCCTCAAATGCCCGGTGTGTCAGAACTAAGCAAGTGTATAACTCAAGATAAGGGTATACCCGGACCATTCTGTTTGGGTGTCCAGTGGAGACAGCCAGGACACCCATTGGATGTTTGGGGTATTCTATCAATATTCTATTGTAGATAGACCGTCCATTTCGGTGCGTTCGAAGGGCACCTCCAGCAACACTCAAATTGGACCATCCTCAAATGAACGGTCTAATTGCCCAATTTGATGGATTTCGACATCCAAAAGGACCATTGGGACCCCCCAATTTTGATGGCACCAACGCAAATGAATCGGGAACAGTCTAGCTGGCAGTAAGAAGGCAAGAAGAACCAGTAGACTACAGGTCAAAGACTCAAAGACATCATTTTACTGGTTGGTCATACCAAAAACGCAACTCAATGATGTAAAGGACCAGGTTTTACTTGGTCTTTGCACCTGTACGGTAGACTACCATGTACTACCATGTTCCCTGGAAGATTCCTGCCCTGGTCCGTTTGATGGGAAACAAGGGGGTTTCTGTCCAGTCAGACGTGACTTCATCGGAGGAGCCGCGGGTTGTGGGGGGCCGGGAAGGACCGGATGGGTTGATTCAGAAGAAAGACAGGAACCGATCCTGTTCTCCCCAGGTATGCGGAGAACTGCACTGTTCAGCTGCGGTCGGCATGGCTCATGCAGCAGGCCTCCGGCCGGGGCACGGTCGGTCCGGTGATCGGTGTGCGGTCCGAGTGGGATCGACAGGGATCTACGGTTTGAAAGCTGGATCCACATGTATCAGGAAGGCAAACTCAAAGTGCAGTCTAAGAGGTTCCAGTATGATGGCTTGTGAAACCGGATCTTGTAGCCAAAAGGATTGAATGGCTTGAAGAATCAAACAAAGATGTGGAATTGCTGACACATACAGATACTCAATGCCTCACTAGCAAAGACTCGAGAGCAAAAAGACTAGGACAAGAAACATAAGAAACTATCAGAGCATACAGAAATAAGTACCAGGAGACCCCCAAGGCCCCAAGGGATGTTGTTTGGACCCTAAGGGGTGGTTAATAGACACCCTTTACCCAAACAAACCAATTGGCTACCCTTCCAGGATCTTCCAGGTCTGGTACGTAAATTACTAGCACATGTTTAATACATGGCTGGACCCGTGTTTGCAAGAAGGCTATGTTCTTCCCCGTCCGGCCGATCCGACCACCGACGGCAGACCTTCCGGAGCTGGCAGCATGCCCGTCGCGTGGCCGAGCGGGCATGGGGCATCGGGCATGGGTGCGCATCGGGCTGTGCTTCTTGCACGCCCTGCAAGGCAAAGAAGGATCTTAGAACTTGAAGCTAGAGCAGAGATGGGGCTATGTTCAGCCAGAAATCTGCCGGAAAGGAAGGATCAGCAGGTGTTATTTCACCTGCTGAACTATCAATGTTTGATGCTCCTTTGCACAGGTCCGATGCAGAAGTTGGACCTGTTTTATTTCTGTTTGAGTGCCCAGCGGTCTCATGGGGGGATGTTCAGGGAGCAATTCCGCGGTCGCCGACGAAGCCCAGACGGAACCCCAGGACTAACTCCCCCAGGACTGTTCTGAGGGTGAACCATCCACAAGGAGAAGCCACCTATCGAGCCTGTGTTGTCCCATGTTTTGATCACTGAGCCTGTGTGAGACCCCAACAGAACTCAGTACCAGTTGAACTCAGCCATCAGGTGCTTATGAGGAGCTCTTTCGCATCCTCTCCGACACCCAGGTGCTACCCCCAGCGGAACCCGTCGGAAGATGAAAAGAGACGACGTCGAATGTCCGGAACGGTACGGCGTGTGTGTCATATCCGCATCCTCACTCAATGGGGTGTGGATCAAACAAATTCTGTTTACTCAGCCCTCCAACCGGCAGAAGCCACAGCCTGAGGCAGACCTGGCGCGTGCGGCGGAAGCCACAGCCTTGGCGGAGACGGCCGCGGTGGCTGCGCAGCAGAGGCGGCCACGGGAGAGTGATGAAGAAGTGGGGAAAGAGGCGAAAAGAGGTGGCAACCAGGTGTGGTACTGGAAGCTGTTTGGACAGGTTTGGCGAGAATTCTGAGAGGTTTGTCCAAAGTGTGGTAATGTAGGCTGATGGTGTTTCTGGTCTTGCTTTTGGTGGACGAGCCACAACCATTTTAGTTGACCTTCCCCGGTGGCAAGCACCGTTGACCTATCGCCGGCAATGGCAGTGAAGTACACGACCAATGGTCGAAGAAGTCAAGCGCCCCAATGGGCACCCGGTAGCTGTGGATGTCAGACGTGAAGAACTTACTGTGTTTGTACCTTATTAGTGATTCGTCACAATCCCATTGCTGATTCTTTTCCTAT